TTGGCTCCCAGAACCCTGGGACCCAGGCTGATGTCCCAGAACAGGACGTGGGAGAATCCCCTCTGGAGAGAGTGGCCAGCCACAAAGAAAAGAGGACAAACAGTAATGACTGCGGTTGCCCCCAGATATGACGGGCCCCCAGCTAATCATCTTAAAGTGAACCTATGTATGACAACAGGCCCCCTTCACCAACACACACACACACACACACACACACACACACACACACACACACACTCAGAGCTGCCTATCAATTTTTTAATGCCAAGCTCTTGGCATTACACTCTTGGCCATGTGACTTACGTTAGCCTTTGGGACATTAGCAAATATGACACGAAAGAAGGCTTGACAGCTGTGCATTACCCCTTGCTCTGTCCTGTGGTTGGAGTCTGGAAACCACAGAGAGAAAGAGCATAAGCTATCCTGCTGGAGAGGCCATGGGGCCCGGCTGACAGCCTTCCAACCACCCAACCTGTGACTGAGGCCATCTCAGGTTGGAGCCATGAGATGACCACAGGCCAAGGTGCCACCAGGCAGGATGTCAGGAAACCCACCCTGCTGGACACAGTGCAACCTGCCAGCCTACGAAGCGGCGAGCAGATGGATGGGTGGTTTGTGATGTGACGGCGGAATCCGAGACAGACTTGAAGGATGTGAGGAAGTCAGCCACATGGCCCTCTGGGTGGCAGAGAGTTCCAGGGGGGCCCTCCAAGGGGCACGCACTGTGTGGAGAGGAGCTGCCCGGAGGCCAGCAGGACAGAGCCTGGGACAGGAGGGCAGAGCCAGAAGGGGACAGTATCTTCACCAGATGGGCAGGCCTTCCAGGTCCTGGTCAAGATAGGTTTTTACACTAAGAGAGATGAGCTCTTTCCAGGTCCTGAGCAGGGGAGGGGCCTGGTGTGACCACATCCCTATGACGCCCTATGACGCCATTCAGCCTGTCCCAGGATGTGCCCTGGGTTTCCTGGAAACATCTGCCTGGGCCGCAGGTGGGGTGACTGGGCAGGAATCCTTCCCAGGTGCCTCAGAGCCTCACCACCAGGGCCGTGCCTCTGGCTTGGTGATGTGAGTTACCAGGATGAGGTTGCAAACTGGTGATGCAGCCATGCTACCCTTCAGCCTCTACCTGTTACCTGGAGCACATCTGGGAGCAAACGCTCTCCAGCAGCTCATGTCCCTCTGGGGTGTAACTTGGTAAGGAAGGCTGGTCATGTGCTTGAGCCTTTCCTTTTATTTACTAAGTTTTGGAATCCTGAGTCAGTTTCCAATGATCAGTCAAAGGTGACCAATAAGTGTTTTACTTGATGGATGTTATAAACTGGTGGTTTTTACCATAGCCAATGGGTCCATCCTTTGCAGTCATTGTTCTTATACAGATACTCATCCCTCGCCTTCTTTGGTCTGTGGAGGCATCTTTAGGTTCGTTCTTGAGTCTCTCCGACATGATCCCAGGAGTCACGGAGAGCTTCCTGGCTTTCTGCATAATAAGGTGCTCCGGGCTTATCTTGTGCATGTTTGTCGCAGACTGTAAGCCAGCCATTTCTTCAAGGAGGGGCTACAGTCAGTCTGGACACTGTGATGGCTCAACGTCAGCTGACTGTCACTGGGTGGCTCAACGTTTCTGGTCTTTTCGGTGGTCGGGGCCAGGAAATACGTTGTTTAAGAGAGAACATACCATGAGTTCATACTGATCTTTTAACAAATTCAGAACCCCATGGTCTTAACTTTCTTCACTTCATCCATGCATCTCTTTTCTTTCAGGCTGGAAATTTTGATTCCCAAAGACAGAAACATAATGACTTATTTGCTTTAGCTTACAGTTTCAGGATAACAACAGCAATATTATTACAAAAATGTGAATACAGTTAATACAGTTTATGCCTTTTTAAAATTTTTTTCCCCTTTAGAGTATGCCCCAGTAGAGGTGTATAGTCAAATTACAGTGTTTTAAAGCTTTCTTAAATTATTTCTGTCTGCAAGGTTAAGCCACCAAGCTGATACAAAATTAGATGCATTTGTTTGACTTTGTTTTCGATTTTTTAGGGATTTCTATTTTGTTCATTTTGACTTAATTTTCATAATTATGCATTTATATTGATTCCCAAATCAAATCTGTAAGTTTTCTGCAGAGAAACCTGGCTTCTGTCACAGCTCCTACACCCTGCTTTCTCCCATTCTCCTTACGTCATGGTTGAGCTTTCCATTTTTTTTCCCATTGTTGTGTTTTAATTGAGATTTGGTATAAATTCCAAGCCAAAAAATATCATAATATGAGTTTATTGCAAGAACCACTTTGATTAAGTCTAAAGGCATTTATATGTGTGTGAAAGGCCAGCGTGAGCTACACATGACAAACGAGAGTGATGTCAAGCAGACAACACACCCTCCAGGTCACAGTCAGAGTGGGGGTGACTCAGTCGGGGTCTGCTGCAGAGAACAGGACCCACACTGGCCGTTTCAAGCAGGAAACCACTTATTAGAGGCCCTGGTAGAATCATGTGGAGCTGAATGAACAGGCTCCGGGTAGAGCTTTGGGGATTGACTTCTCCGAGCTGCACTGCAGACTGGAGCCTCAGGAGGACGAGGGTTCCAGAAGTGCCCCGAATAGAGAAGCTGCGCTCCCAGCTCCCAGCTGTGCCACTGCTGCTGTGCTCCGCTCAGAAGATGCATGTTCATACCCTACCTCCAGATCAGTGACCAGACGCCGTGCTGCCAACAGGACTTAACCAGGACCCGCCGAGTGGGTGGCCCCTTCTCCCTTCCACGCCCATAAGAGTGCATCCTACAGACCAGGGTTGCCAGGGTCTGAGAAAGGTCATTTTGAGCTTCCCATCCCCTGTAATTCAGAGAGAAACAGTAGAGGAAGGATGGAAAGGAGAGTGGGCACCTACCCACTGGACATACGGACAGAGATGTCGTGGTACCATTGTCCAATGTGCAATGGCAGAGCCAATGTAGCGAAGGCCTGTCATATGCCTTCCTGGGCCATCACCCAAGGAGAAATGTTTCAAGGGGCATTTAAAAGAGAATCTTGCCTACCTGTGACGTCAGCCCTTTCTCGGGACACCTGCACCATATTGCCGTAATTTAGGCTTGTAGACCTGACTTCCAGGAAGTGCTCTGATGCCCATCACCAGTAGGAGAGACAGACACAGGGGAGTGGAGCAGGCTGCATGCAGGCAGGCTCCTCTCCTCCCTGAAAGCTCCTGGTTTGCAGGGGAGGGGTGTCCCTGGGCTCATTTAAGCTGGACGGGCAACGAGGGGACTGGGTCCTAGGACCCCCAACCCAGTGACACATGGAGTTAGTGAAAGAGCAGCAAAGCGCTGCTGTTGGCTCTGAGCGGAGCAGAGCACACCCTGAAAGGCAATCCCCGGTCCCGCAGGCCCACGGAGAGGCCCAGCGCCCAGGACGGCTGTGTCCCAGCGCCGAAGGGACCGCAGGGGAAAGGCTCCTCTCGCTTTTTGTTCCTGACATTTTTATTTTAGAATTTTAAAGAAAGGGATGTCAGAGAGCTATTTTGTTGCTCTGGATAAACCGGGGAAGGGTTAATCAGGCCGGTGGCCTTGCCGCTGGGCAGGGCGGCTCCAGAGGACCCTTTAGTCACAGGATTTCGAAGCCCGCGGGTCAGGAAGAAACTAGAAGCAATTAGCCCCGCTAGGTAGCCAGGTCTGTGTGAGGGCCTGCTCTTCTCTCGCCGGCTGCTGGGGAAATTTCCCCTGAACAGCCGGCCAGCACAGACCGCCCTCCTCTAGTTTGGCCGAGGCGAGTGCTCTGCAGCCCTGAGTTCAACTTCAATAAAAGGGCCCGGCCCGCCCTTGATCTCGCGGCTTGCCTGACAGCCCTGCTCAGGCCCGGGCCTAATTGAGCCCGGGTCACCTGGGAATAGGTTCAAAGGCATCGAAGCCAGTAAACCACCTCCAGGCCTCGAGCCAGAGCGGCCTGGGGAACAAAGAGCCCCCCCCCCCTCTTCCAACCACTTCAAACGGGCCCGCGCTCGGCGTCCAGATGGCGCAGGGCCGGGGTCCCCGGTGTCGCCCGCGGAGAACGGGCCCTGAGCTCCCGCCGCCCCACGCCTTCCCGCCGGAGGCTGCCTGGGCGCCCAGCGCTGGGGAGGACGCGCAGCTGCCCAGGCGCCCCCTGTTCACTGCACACTGGCGAGGCGAAGGGGGAGCGCAGTGAAGGGGTCCGGCACTGCCGACCTAGGGGCGCCCTCGGCCGCACCCCGCACGGGGCAGGACCGCGCGGGTGGGCGCCGAGGGCGCCAGCGCCTCCGCAGAGGTTCGCTGTGGCGCTGAAGTTTTAAGGCACTTTAGGAGGAGGGTGTGCGAAGGGGTCGGAGCCACGGCTCCCCAACAACTTGGGCTGAGAACCGGTTTCCCCTTCCCGCAAGGCCTGCGCAGCGCGGTCGGCGACTGCAGGGGTCCTCAAGGTGCGTAGGTGAGGAGCCGCATCTCCAATGGCGCCCGAATGTCCCCTCGCCGGAGGCGCCGGGATCCCTGCCCGCGCTGGTCCCCAGCCGCAGGCCGAACGTACAGGCCACCGCGAGTGCCCGCTGCACGCCCAGGGGCAGCCAAGGCGCACACCGGCCCGGCGCCCCCGAGGCTCCCCGCCCAGTCCTCACCTCCTGGGCGCGCATCGAGGGTCAGACTCGCCACCGGTGCCCCTGCGCCCCGGGAGAGATGCCGCCGCCCGGCGGGCCTGATCTCCACGTTAAGGAGCTGACAAAGCCAGGTCGGCTGAGCCCAGGGCGCGGGCAGCCGGAGAGTGGCCAGGGCCCGGGTGGAGGTGCGGGCGGCGCGGCGAAGGCCGGCCTCCGGGGTGCCCGCCGCGGTCAGGGCCGAAGGGGGAGGCAAAACTGAAAGTGCCGCGCCGGGGGGGGCGGGGGCGGTCGGCGAAGGCCCAGAACTTGTCCGGCCCCCGGCCGCGGCGGCCAATCAGCGCGCCGCCTTTGCTCCTGACAACTATTTAGCAACCCAGCCCGGCTAGAGTTTCCAAAAAAGTTAGAATAACTTCCTCTCCCGGAGACCTCGGTTTTGCACAAGCCGGCCTTGAAATCAGAAACTCCGAGAGCGTGTGCTCGGCGACCGCGGGCTTGGCCAGCGGCGCGCGCTCGGCGCCCGGCGCCCCCAGCCCCACGCGCGCTGGGCGGGCGCCATGGAGGAGGGCTCCAGCTCGCCCGTGTCCCCCGTGGACAGCCTGGGCACCAGCGAGGAGGAGCTCGAGCGGCAGCCCAAGCGCTTCGGCCGGAAGCGGCGCTACAGCAAGAAGTCGAGCGAAGATGGCAGCCCGACCCCCGGCAAGCGCGGCAAGAAGGGCAGCCCGAGCGCGCAGTCCTTCGAGGAGCTGCAGAGCCAGCGCATCCTGGCCAACGTGCGCGAGCGCCAGCGCACCCAGTCGCTCAACGAGGCCTTCGCCGCGCTGCGCAAGATCATCCCCACGCTGCCTTCGGACAAGCTCAGCAAGATCCAGACGCTGAAGCTGGCCGCCAGGTACATAGACTTCCTCTACCAGGTCCTGCAGAGCGACGAGATGGACAATAAGATGACCAGCTGCAGCTACGTGGCCCACGAGCGCCTCAGCTACGCCTTCTCCGTGTGGCGCATGGAGGGCGCGTGGTCCATGTCCGCCTCCCACTAGCGCCGCGCCACCCACGTCCGGACCGGCGCGCGAGGGTAGGTGCTGCGCTTGCGATGGGCGCCCTCCACCGCGGGGGGCGGATGGCCTCACCCGCGCATCCCTTCTCGCGGAGGCCGGGCTGGACGCGGAGGCGCGATGGGGAGCACTTTTCCTCCTAGCAGCAGATGGGGGTCGTTTGGGAGGCTCCCACGTCCCAGGGTCGCCCTGGGGCCTTTTACACACTTCCATGCAGGGTGTCAATCAGAGAAGGGCAGACTGGCAGCAGCCGCATTTTCCATTCTTGGTGTCGTGCGGGGTCTGTGGGTGACTTTGGGGGGAGTGCACATCAGAAGAACCGCCTGGGGGGGCGGGCAGGGACAGAGAGGTGGGGGCCCGCTGCCCTTTGGGTCCTTCCTGGTGGTGGCGGTCGTGCAGGGTTGTGGCTTCTCGTTCTTCTTGGGAAGCGAACACCCAGTTCTCCCTGGCAGTCCCGTTCTGCTGTGGGCAGGTCCCGTGGGCGCCGGGGTGCGCACCCTGGGCCCCCAGGTTTGCCTGGAGAGGGCGGGAGGGCACTGCCCAGGGCTGGGGGCTCCGCCGCCAGAGCAGCCCTGGAGTCGGAGGTGGCCTGGCGTCGGGAGTGCAGAGGATGGGCCGAGGCTGATGCGCGCAGGTCGCGGCGCGGTGGCCGGGACTGACCCGCTGCTGGGAACCCGGCTCCCCGCGGGCAGGTGGAGCGGACCTCGGGGCTGGGAGCCTCTGTTCCCGGCCTTGAACCTCGTCAGTCTGGGAGGGGGCTCTGCTCCTGCCGCTTCCCCGCGTCCAGCCTGCGAGGAAGCGCCCGGGGTGCTGGCAGGGAAACAGGTTTGAGGGGAATGAGGGCCGGTGCGGGTCGGTCCCGCAGGAGCAGGTGAAGGGGACGCAGCTGCTGAGAGCCTGGGAGCTGGGCTTCCTCGGGGAGCATGTTCTGGGCCGCACCGGCGCCTTTTCACCAGACACCTTGGAAGTCCCCTCAGACGAGCTCTAATCGCGGAGGCGCCGTCCTTCCAGCAGACTCGGGGCGATGGCTCCCGCGGGCCATGGAGGGTGCAAGATGTATTTGGGGCGGGGGAGGGACGTGTGTTACAAAAATCCTCCCTACTCAGTATGTTTAGTTTCTTGCTCACCTTGCAAGGTTTTCTTATAAAAGTCTCTGCTTCGCACAGAAGGAATTTAGATCACCCAGGAGCGAGCAGCCGCCCACTCTCCCAAACAGATCTATTTCTTTTTTATGTGGTTCCATAATATCTGCAAATGTGTTTGCTGTGCCCACGAAGAGCTGATGTAGCTCAGGTGGACTTTATTTTGTATTTTTTATTTTCATTTCCGTGCCACTGAGAATTCTGAGGAGACAGCCCTCGAAAGTGACGATCGGTTTATAGGTCTGTAACAACGAATTTCAGCGGGGAATAACTTATGGGAAACGGCTCCCATCTTTGTCAAAAGCAGATGGAAAGTGTCTCGATCACATATTTCCCTGGGAAAGAGGGTTTGGATTGGCCGAGGACTGAAATGCTCAGTGGGATAACACATTCATTCTGGGTTTTGCTGCCTAAATTATGAGCGTCCATTAGTCAATTCCATTTACCCTTTAGACCATCCACAGTTTATAGCACAGATGAAATAAGAACAAACAGATGAGGACTGTCATCTTTTAAAAATATACAGACATAGCTTTGTTTAAGGAAAATGCCAGCAGAATTTTCGTTAAGATTTTCCTCCAGAAAATTATTGAAAACAAATAGCAGGAGCTGTACCTCGACGCAGAATTTAGTAGGGTCATTTAAAATTCATTACAAAATAATTGCACTCCTAACACTGACATCGATCGCAATGAAAGATTATATAAAAATAAAAGGCAGTACTTGTAATCAGTAAATGGTAAGAGTTTGGGGGAAAAAATCCTTAAAATGTAACAGATAACACATTGAGCTGGAGAGCAAATGATCCCTATGGGGCCCATTTATTTATGTTTCTATAAAATTGAATCTAATTGACCAGTTCCAATAAACACATTTCTTCAAGCAGATAGATTCCCACCCTGCCCGAGAAACGAGGGTACGGGGGGTTCTTGATGCAGGAATGATCTGGGCACACCTTGTGTTTACTTGCCGGGCATGTGAAGCAAAAACTTTGTATTCTTTTTGCCTTTAACTCATTAGTCTCTTTGGGAATAAATGCAGTCACCATTGGTTTGATTTCCTGAAGATGTTGCTAAATGCCATTTGTTATTTATCTATAACATTTTAAAGAAACACTAGTTACATGTATCACCAAAGAATTTCTAGACCTTTCAGGAAATGGTATGTGATTTTAATATCTAATGTGAGATGTTTTCACATATATATATTTTTAAAAGCTGTGTCTATGTGAACAGCAGCAACGATAAAAACTCTGAATTGCCCCTTGATATAAAGAGAGACACAGGAAGTCGTACGGCTGGTGCTGGTATTTATCCTGACTTTCTTTTTTGGCCTGGCATTTAAAAACACAGACAGACAATGAATCAGGTGTCTTTGGACAATCAGCTGGGTTCATCTAGTGGAAAACTCTCGAAGGAGTTTTCAGTGTTTTCATTAAATACCTGCACTTCAGGAGCAGGGTCCGAGGCGCCTGGTATGGAGGGTGCATGGAGGTGACGATTACTTATTGGACATGGCCTCTTTTGTTCTGTTTTGTGGTTAAAGAAAACATCTTCTCTAAGTTCTGCAAAGTATGGGCAGATTTTTAGTGGGTTACCATACTCAACAAACTAGTTTTTCTCTGAGAACTTGTAGTTACTTTGGAGGGCAGAGTAGGACCCTCTCAGTATCCAGGGTGGGTAAGCCTTTTCCTCTCTCCTGTAGATTCACTTCTTAGAGGTGTGCTAACTGCTATAATTGGATTGCTAGCTGGTCTCAAAAGAAAATGAATTCCTCCTGGAGAACGGAAATGCAGAATTTCAGGAGATCTTTTGATTGGTCAGAGGAAGCAGAATGAAAGACTGAGCTACCTGAATAATATGCGATGTTTCCTTATAAAATACCCATCGGTAAGACCCTCTGTAGGGAGTTGACCTCAGTCATGTGGCTATTGTTCCCTTGAATGTCAGTAGAAAGTCTGGCCATCCATCGGGCCAGAGTAGGGGCTGGAGGGTGGCCGTTTGAGGTCCACTGAAATACAGTACTGTATCGAGCTTTACTAAAAGCTGCATATTTTCAGACAAGTCTTGAGCCTGAAAAAACTGAGTTTTCATCATCCCCACTTCACTGTACTCTGGACAGACGGCACTGACGCCGGATTCCTTTTGCCTGGCGAGAAGCTCGTAAAGTAAACTCTGTGAGCTGAGCACTATAACTCATAGTTTTAGTTTAAAGCTGGGTTTAAAAAACAAATATTTTAATAAGCCAATTTTAAAGGCTGAACTTTTATGACAGTTTTTAAGCTTCGTGTATATATTCATCTATTCTCACTGGTGTCTTTAAAACCATGAATGCACGCTGGAATGTCTGTTTATATTTGTGTCTTTTCATGGGAAAGGATAAATGTGCTGCAAAAGGCAAACCAAAGACAAAGCTCTGCACCAGCAGAGAGTTCACGAATGAGGCAATAAAACTCCACGATGAGATGAACGTGTGACTGTAGCCAAGGAAGAGAAAGCCATAAAGAAGCAATAGCATCTAAGAGATATAGACAGGGGTGCAGTCAAGATGAAATACTGAAAACAGAAACTGCTTAACAAGGTGTTCCACGCGGCCACCTGAGGCTGTGCACGTGATAGGATTGTATGGGAAGGAGCGCGCGCGTGCACACACACACACACACACACACGCGCACGCACGCGCGCGGTGCATGTAAAATTGGAGAAAGTGGAACACGGTCTGGAGATGGTGTAATGTCAGTCCCCTGGTTGTGACATTGTATGGAGTGCTGCAAGGTGTTAGCACCAGAGGAACTAAGTGATGAGGATGACGGGATCTCTCTGTATTATTTCCTACAACTTCATGCGAATCTGTAATCATCTCAAATAAAAAAATTTTAAAAAGTTATTCCACAAGGATTAATTTTTTTCTATATCCAAATGAGCAAGTGACTATACCTTATCTCAGAGTAATAGACTAAAAATATGCTTTGAGAAAATACCCCCTTTTTCCTGATGTCGTTTGTATTATTGCTCTTCTTTTCAGAACATGAGGAATCTCAACACATTTCCCACATATAATTAATTAGGAGTGTTTCTTTGTAATTATTTAAAGAGTAGAATTCCAGAAACCTGAGAAAATTACCAATCAATATTTATTCCTATTCTAATAAAGGATATATTTTTCAAAGAAATGTTAGGAAATACTTACCTGAAACTGGCACATTTGCTTTTAGCTAAGTCTGTATTGACTTACATCACACACACAGACACACACTCTTCTAAAGGCACCGATTCATAAAAATTATTCGCTATGTAGTGTAGACTGTAAAAGTTTAGTGTTCAGAGCCACACACAGTTAGAATGAGGAAAGAGAGAGAGAGAAAGAGAGAGAGAGAGAGAGAGAGAGAGAGAGAGAGAGAGATCAAATCCCTCAATTCAGTCGTGGTTATTTTAAATTAATATTTGTTTGTCCTGGGAACATATTTTGTACTTGGTTCAACCGTAAACCTCTGAATGCAACTTAGTTATATTAAATGTGCCTAATGACATGCTAGTGCTGGAATGAGATGCAGGGACACGTGATGGGAGAGCAGGGTGACTTTCATGCTGAAGTAAACCCAGGCACCGTGGGATTTTTCTCCAGGGATTACTAACGGTTGTCACACTGAAAGGAGACTTGAATCAGAAATGGGAAAAGCCAGCATGCAGCTTTCTTCTGACAGGAGAGACATTTTTAGTGGTTAGTTGAAAATAGAGTCATTTTGAATCAAAACAGTGTTTTATAGGCTTTGAATACCTGTACTCTTTTACCCGCAACTCGGCTGTTTGGAATCACATGCTCCTGTGATGATGGGTAAGGAAGCAATTGGGGGTTCTGAGCGCGCTATCGAGGCTGTTTGGTGTTCCCCCCGTTTCTCATCGGGACACCTCTGTTATCTGACCAGGGAGCGAGTTCGATGACTCGCTTCTCACGACGCCTCCTGTAGAATTGTAATTTTACTTCTCAAGTCCTGAGAGCAATGCCTTCAACATCAGGCACGACCCTCCTTCCTGGAGGTCAGAATTTCTCCATCAATTAAATGAAGGGCAGGGTTGAACCCAGAGAGCTTTCAGTTTTCAAATTCAGTTATTCTGGAAGATATCACTTCCTTTTAGCTCACATTCAGCCTTAAAAAAAAATAGCCATCAGCATCTTTTGGCGGGGGGGGGGGGGGGGGAGCTTGTAAATTCAGTGATGTTGTCTGGCATTGGGTTCGTAGTTCTCACTGTTTAATTCCTTGGCGAGCTCACATTTGTTTTTCTGGCTGTGCAGGTCTGGTGTGTGACTGACGGGAAAGATTTGGGCAAAAACCTTGATTTTCATTAACCCTTTGATGGTGACCAAGCGTCAGACCCCAACTGCATGGCTGAGGTTTGGGGTGTGGTCGCCCCCAGAGCCCTTCCCAAGTGCCCGGCCGAGCAGCTCAGATAGGACACGGAGGGCTGGCCTTTGGCTTGTAGGGGGAGGCGTAGGGAGCCTTACGTTTGTTGTGAATGCTGTTTTTCTGTGCTGTCCAAGTAAAAAGCCCAGAGCCTTTCTGTTAAATTCTCTGGGAGCATGTCTCTCTTCGTAAGGTTCGAGAGTTTTCTGCCTGCCTCAGAGGCAAGTGGGGGCTCCGGGAGAGGCAGCTTGTAAAAGAAACACACTCCCTAAAAGAAAACACGGGCCCGGGTTTACAGCCGGCCGCGGCGGCCGCTGCGGGTTCTTTGTGTGTTCCACTCCGAACGTTCTGTAAGTCACAATGCAAACAGGCAGCGTGTTCCTTCAATCATGAGATCTGGAAACAAATGTCGAGTTGCTCTTTCCTCCCAGGAAGCTCAGTGCTTTCAGTAGCTTTGGTTTGCAGGAGTGCAGAAGGCTCAGAAGTGAAAAGCCTCAGGCTCTGTGTGACTTTCCGGACCTGTGGGTGTGAAGGTGCCTGCCACCTAGTCCTTGCCTCCCCGGACTTTAACTTGGAGGAGCAATAACCAGGCAAGCAGCCTGGCAGGGTTAGCAAGATCTGTACCCTCATTGGGTCACTTTCAGAACACACGTGTAACTTCAAAGTCCTGTTCGTAATGAGATCGCCTCGGTACCACACGTGAAGCACTGGTCGCGCCTTTAGGAAGGAGCGGAGGGAGAAAGTCTCTGTTCACATAACTGGGCTGGACTGATGAACGACCTCTTCACTGGAGTCACGTCCCTGAACTGACATCATCCCAAACTGCGAGCTGCACCATATTGGCTCCTGATGAGGTTTCAGAATGCACCCAGCACCCGCCTCCCCCATTTCATGATACCTGTGAGGAGGAGGGACCTTCAGAGAGAAGGATCTGACCCTTTGTGCACTGTGTCTGTGTGGAGAGCATATCTTCTCCAGCCACCCCTCCCTGCACCCGCTGAGCTCTCGTCTTTTATTATTATTGTTGTTGTTGTTATTGTTAACCAAAGTCCATGTAGAGTTTCGCATTATAGTAAGTAATAAAGAATGAACACAAAGCCCCGCATCCGACCGCAGCACCGTCACACAGGGAGTAACGCCGTCGGGATTCTCCGAGCTCAGGGTTTCCGGGCAGCTCAGGAATAGGTGCACCCCCACATGTGTGCTTGGTGAATCCTTAGTTACTGTTTTCTAAGAAAATCATTCCATTGATACTAGAACAGAAGTGCCCCAAGGGTATTTGCCCTAGGAGACCCGGTGTGTTGTTTGTGATGATTTCTCTTGTGCAAAATGACCTGCTCTGATCACCCACCCCCTCGTGGCTCGTGTGGGGGCTCTGGGTGTGTCCCGGTCCCTCTGGTGTAATTGTGTAACAAAGAGTCGCCCAGTGAGGTCTTTTAAGGACAAAATTAACTTAAGGCTGTTTTGCTGGGTGTTAAGTTATTGCCAATTCCAAAATTCTCTCTTAAACTATTTTTTGAAGGTAGAGATTTTATTTTAATTAAACAATAATCAAAAGCCATGGACTATGATGCATTTACCTGCTCGTTTCAACTATGGCTATTATGTTATATCCGTCTTTGTTTTACTGCATTCCACAAATGAACAATTTCATAGAATTTCATTGTCAATCAATTTAATCTCCTTGTGTGTCTCCGGTGACTCTATTAACCCATCATTTACAATTTATAACATGAAAAAGGCAAGTGTCTCAGGAAGGACAAAGTAAAAGAGACAACGAGGATGTGGACAGGAAAAGGGATGTGCGGAGAACTTCACAAGGAGTGGGCAGTTGGGGGACCCAGGCTGTGGGCAGCCTGTCCCTCCCGCTGCTGCTTGTTACAGAGATGGCCTCTCCCTCGGGTCCCTCAGACACCTGGAGGACAGAGGCTTACCCGGACAAGCGCCCTGCCTGCCTTCCCAGAAAAATGACACTTTGTGAAAATTCCAACAGGCCACCTCGTTGCTGCCGGGAGGTCACCTGGGCCATGGTGACTTCACAAGGACCCACAGTGCCCTCGCCTCTCATTTCTTCCCAGGCATGAAAGTTGCCCTGCAAGGGGCATACAAGAAGGCCCAGAGGTGCCCCTGCCGGCCTGCCACGGTCACCAGGTGCTTCAGGTGCCAGAGATGGCAGAGCCTGAGAGCAGGTGGTCAGGGTGGTGGGGACTGTAGGAGAAGGGTGCTGGGCTATGGGCTGCTCAGTGCACCTGAGTTGCCTGGAGGCACCTCCGATGTCCGTGGAGGGGAGCGGGAGGGAAGACTGCGTGCTCCACCGCCCTCACACTTCCTGGACCTCCGCGGGGCCGGCCTTGGAGCTGCTCGTGGATCCGCCCTCAGGTCTGAGCGTGAGCCCAGCGCGCCTCAGCATTTGCCAAGGTTAATGAAAGGAAGTGATAACTCAGCATTTATTTCCTCCTCCTGGATTTCGTAGCTGTAGACCTCACCCTACGTCAAATTCCTCTTTCAAAGCTTTGGCTCCCCTGAAGACAACCGGCCTCCAGGAGAAGATCAGCCCGCCCACCGTGGGGTCTGCAGGGGAAACAGATGAGCCTGGCTCTGCGGACAGCCAGAGACCACGTGGTCCATCCTGGAAAGCAACCTCCTGCTTGAACGGTGATAACATGCTACTTCCGCAGGTGACAGACCTGTTCTCCGCGTGTTCCTGGGAAGCGTGTCCCTGTGGGGAGCCTGCGAACCAAGCTCTCTGTCCATCAGCTTGGGGTGCACGTTGTTTGAAAGTTACAGCAACTACAGTTTAATGCTAATTACACAATTTCACTTTTTCTAACCAGAAAGAAGGAGAGGGAAAGTGAGGAGCACAGTTGGATGCTGGCGGCAGTGCGGGCTCCGGGGCGCCCTCTGTGCTCGCTGCTGCTCCACCCTCCACACCGAGAAACAGTCGTCCACGGAGGCAGAGCGCTCGCACGTGTGAGGATGTGCGGTGGATGTGACTCCCCACAAGGGATTTTGCAACTTATTGAAGTCATTGTTTCCAGAATAAACTATGTGTCATTCTTTCCCTTAGTAATGAGCATCTGTGTGATGGAGCATTTGTCTATTTTGAGAAATTTTAATTAGACAGAAGCCAAAGGCTGCTGCCTTGGTAGGAGCAGGCCAGAGTCCCCAGTTAGTCTGCTGGGCAGAACCCGTTGTCTTGTGTCCCGGGCATCCGTTCTCTGAAGCAAGGCTCCATTGACGTGGGCCATGGCGTGGACAGCACTTTCTGCCTCTCAGTCCTTTAATTCTGTGCGGCCTTAGCAAAGCAAAGCCTCCCGGTTTAGCGACTGATCTCTAAAATGAGGCATGAGTTCCTGATAGCCCTCCAGTCAGGAAAATCCTCAGCACGGAAGGCAGGGCCGCTCCAAGCGATGGCCTGTTACTCCACCAGAAGAAGGCCGACGCTCATTCAAGGAGGAACCTTGAAGTCATTGCGCTAAGTGGAGGAAGTCAGACACAGAAACCAAATAGTGTATGATTGCATTGAAATGAAAAGCCCAGAACAGGCAAAAGTGAACTGGTGGTCGCCAGGGACTGGGGCTGGGGGCAGGGCGTGGGATGGGGAGGGGGACATGACTGCTTAACCGACGTGGGATTTCTGCTTGGGGCTGTAAGAAGGCTCTGGAACTAGGTAGGGATGGTGTTTGCACAACAGTGAGACTTAATTCCACTGACTTGTGCACTTTAAAACGGTTGAAATGATAAATTATATATTTGGGTATTTTACCACCAAAAAAAATCCTATGACTCAGCCCAGGGGCCTCTCTGGTAACCGTAGGAGGTATCATAAGCCTTCAACTTTTCTCCACTTTCCACAGATGTTATCCAGTTTATCCACATGATTCAATGCTTATCAGATGATTCTCATTTCGTCTAGTTGTGTCTGAGTAAAAGCATTTCCTTTCGAAATCTATTTCCTAATGTGCTCATTAAAAAGCAAGTTCCCCAGGCGACTCGGGTAACACGCGGCTTCTGCTCCCTGGTGACCCTAGGGGGCCTGTCCATGGCGCCTCTGGAAGCCTCTCTCGGGACTGAGTTCTCACACTTCGGGGGTCGGGGCCAGGAGGGAGTGGCCCCAGCGTTCTGCATCTCTGCATCTGGTGGGGGTGGTCCAGGAGAGATCACGGCCAGCAGTTTGCTCCCCAGAGCCAGACCGTCCAGGCAGGTTCCAGGCGCAGAGATCCCCCAGGGCGGCGGCCGCCACCAGGGGTGATTCCTGGAAAGTGGGGCTCTGGCTCGGGGCTCTCTCCAGTCCTGCTCTGCTGAGGGCTGGGAATGGGGCCACCCAGTGAGTGTGTTGTGGGTGCTGCCCCAGAGGGAGGTGAGGGTGACACAAAACCATGGCGGGAACTGCTGTGACATTTATTACTGTCACTTCCCCGCCGCTGGATCCTAGAGCTGGCCTTCCAACGTGTAGCAAGCCAAGTCAAAGAAAAAGAATTCCCACCACATTAAAATCGTAAACTTCTAAATACCAAAAAAGAGCCTGATAATCAGAATTTTACATGAACCAGGAAGTATTTACGATGTTTTACAGGGGACCAGTACTGTAACTAGACAGAGTCCTTCAAAATTCAAAAGAAAACGGGCAGTTGCACTGCAGAAAATATGAACTTACAAAAGAAGACATTCATTTGGCCAGTGAATATATAAAAAGTGTTGAACTTCAACAACAGCCAAGAAATTGAAAATAAAACAGGACGATATTATGTTTTATTAAATTGGAAAAAGTATAAAGATGAACCCCAGGATTGAGGAAGGTGTGTCAGGCTGTCCTGCCCTTGGCAGTGAGCAGATGGATTATAAAGTCTTTCTTAGAGATTCTGAGAGATAAGAAAAGATTTTAAAACAGGAAACACCCTTTGAGGGTGCATTCCACGCCTTAGGGCAGTGGTTCTCAACCTTCTGGCCCTTTAAATACGGTTCCTCATGTTGTGACCCAACCATAAAATTATTTTCGTTGCTACTTCATAACTGTAATGTTGCTACTGTTATGAATTGTAATGTAAATATCTGATATGCAGGATGGTCTTAGGCGACCCCTGTGAAAGGGTTGTTCGACCGCCAAAGGGGTCGCGACCCACAGGTTGAGAACCGTTGCCTTAAGGACTATCAAGTGAATAATGGCTAATATTACTGACATGTCCTGGGAAGTTGCTAGAATAAATTGTGGTTTATCCAGATGCGGGAACACGATGCAGTCAGCAAATTTTGTATCGTAAACAAATATTTAATAACATGAAGGGGAAGGTTACGTGGGGGGCAGATCACACGGTCTCAGGTTGAAAATTCCAAGTGTGTGCTCACATGCTGTGTTTATCTCAGAGAGGTGAGAGGGAAGTCTCCGGGTCAGCGATTTTCATCCTTCTTCATCTCATGGCACACAAACTGATTACTAAATTCTGCGACACACCAAGAAATACATTTTTTGCTGATCCGATAAAAAAAAAAAAAGGTATACTTTGATTCATTCACACTGACAGCTACTGTTGTATGGGCTGTTGTCATTGTTTTAATTGACAACCGAAGGGAAAGGAAGTCCGTGTCCCTGACTAAAGAGGCAGGTACTGCCGTCTTAAACATCCTTGCAGCTCCCTGGCTGAAAATCGCTGCTCTGGACCAAAATGTCAAGGGAAGACCTTCCTTTCCTTCATACTGGTCTTATTGCTTTTCTTTCTTTTCTAAATTTTCTGCAAATGCCTGGCATGACTTTTGAAATTTGAGAAAAGAAACCAGTGCTTTTTAAAGAAAGAGTGGGAGTCACATCCCAGCCATCCCTTCCTCTGCACTGTGGCTCCCTCTGCCCCCAAACCTCCCCAACCCTAGTCCCTCCCAGTACAGCAGTGAGTGCTTTTGCCTCTCCCACCCCCACCTCACCCCCACCCCCACCTCAGAGAAATGCCTTCCTGGGACCCTTTCTCCGGCGTGAGGCCTTTCGTTCCGAAGTCATACAAGAACGCGCCTCACAAAACGCAGTGTGTGTCTTCTGCACCCGCAGTGAAGCCCCTGCCGCACTTACCTGCCACGCCTCAGACGTCAGGGCAGTTCACTGTGTTCTTCCGGAATGTGGCACCGCGGAAGCCTGGCTCCCTGGGGACCCTCGGGCTGGCCTCTGCACACGGCCTTGGTTACGGGGCTTAGCTCATCTTCCTCCCACGCGCTCGCCCCACCCTCCGTTCCTGCGTCCTCATTTGTCTTTATTTCCTTGTTCTTCTCCATGTATTCGGGGTTACATATTCTTCAGTGTGAACCATTTCCCATCGGTGGAAGCACAGTGAACTCACTAACTCTTCCTCTACCGCTCCTCCCAGGGCAGGAGACCAGGAGGGCCGGAGGGCAGGAAGACCCCTCCCAGCCTTGGGAGGTATTCATACTCACCAGTCACTGGGAACAAATGAAAACCCCTGCTTCCTGGCTCTGGTCTCCCGGGATGAACAGGGGTGGGGGGAGTAAGGGGGGAGGAGGGGTTCAGGGCTGAAGGTGGAGATGCCCCCTCCTCACCCTGCAGTCAGGGTTTCCAGAACCTAGCCCCTCCCCTCCCATAACGACTGAATCACACCTGCACCCGGGGACCCACCATCCTGTGTCCCCAGGCAGAGCCCAGGCTCCGCGTCTCACTTCTCAGATTCTCAGGCGTATGATTTCCACTGGGCCTGCCTTCTTTCACACCCTGGCTGCACTTGATGTGTTCTCCTGGCACATTCTGGGACGATGCTGGCCTGATGACCAGTCCTTTCAAGAGAGAGGACTGAGATGTTTGCCAGGTTCCATCAGGGCCGGGAAGCGGCCGAGGTTTCCAGGCGGGAAGGCCTGGGCCCGCACCTTCCCCGGCACCGAGCTGAGCATTCATCCTCCGTCCCGGCCACAGCTGCCTTTTGCTGCAGAGACAGCAACCATGAGGTGAAGGCCGGGTTAGTCCCCGAGTGGGCCTCCGGCATGATTCAGCCCGGGGAGCACAGTGACTCAGAGCCATGGCTTTTGTCTTCTGGCTGCAAACAAACAGAGCAGAGAGGCTTTCATGGGACGCCAGGACTCCTGGTGGAGGCAGCTCCCAGCTCCTGGGGGCCAGCCTGGGCGCAGGCGGTCAGGACCGACTGGATCAAGACCAGGTGGGACCAGGGCAGAGAGGCTGGTGCCCGCTGGGCAGAGCAGGGCCGAGAGGTTGGGGTGGGGGGACAGACCTTGGCCGCTCTGCAGAGATGTTGGGCCAGGGTCGACCCTGCCCCAAGGTCCACGCTGCTCCGGGGTTCACCTGCCCTGGGCGTACCTGACCTGGGTGCACCTGACCTGGGCGTACCTGACCTGGGTTCACCTGCCCTGGATGCACCTGACCTGGGCGTACCTGACCTGGGTTCACCTGCCCTGGGTGCACCTGACCTGGGCGTACCTGACCTGGGTTCACCTGCCCTGGGTGCACCTGACCTGGGCGTACCTGACCTGGGTTCACCTGCCCTGGGTGCACCTGACCTGGGTGCACCTTTCCTGGGTTCACCTTCCCTGGGTGCACCTGTTCTGGGTGCTGCCCTGGGTGCACCTGCCCTGAGCCCACCTGGTTTGGGTCCACCTTCCCAAGACCCACCTGCCCTGGGTGCACATGTTCTGGGTCCACCTGCCTTGGGCCCGCCTGCCCTGGGCCCACCTACCCTGGGTCCACCTGCCCTGGGTGCACCTGCCCGGGACCCACCTGTCCGGGACCCACCTGCCTTGGGTGCACCTGCCCTGCGTCCACCTGCTTGGCCTTCATTGGTACATGCAGAGCACTGTTCCACATCCTGAAAGCCACACCCTCAGGATGTACCTGTCAGGTACAACCCCATAAGCAGTCTCCCTTCTCTGAGCTCCTGCTCTCTAAAGAAGGGGGTCCTTGGCGGTCCCCCTCTTCAAGACCCTCCTCAAGGTCCACAGTGCAAGGCGTGTGGCAGGGCTGGGCCTGGGGATCCATGGAAGGGGATGGGCTCTGACAGGCCGCAGGGAAGCTGAGGTGAGAGCAGGGTCAGGTGGCTGGGTGGGCGGCCACCCCCGCCGGGCCTGGCTG